ACAAACAAAAAAACAACAAACAACAAACAACAAACAACAAACAACAAACAACAAACAACAACCAACAAACAACAACCAACAAACAACAACAACAACAGCAACAGCAACAGCAACAACAACAACAACAGATCCATGAGAGACCTACCGAGCGACAGTGGGCGCAAAACCAAAACTCCCAGAAGACCCTTTTTCGAATGGAACTGAAAGACCGACCGAGCGACAGTGGGGCCAAAAGTGCACTCAAAAGAGTGATAGACGCATGCGGTACATTCAGAAGAACGGAAACGTAAAACAAAAAGCGCAACTGATGCAGGAGAGATCGACCGAGCGACAGTGGACCAGGGGGGAATCGAACCCCCGACCGACCCTGACCGACCGTACTGCATTTGCTTAGTGGGACACTGACTGGGGAGAAGAGAATTTTTCCCAAAAAAGTATCACTTTTTTGGGAAAATCCAAAAGTGTTTTCCCAAAATAGTAGTAAAATTTCGACCTCCGCGCAGGGGGCTCAGGAAGCACAGACTTAGTTTGTATTCGCGCAGACTAAGTTTGTATTCGCCAATTTTCCCAAAAAAGTAGCAGATTTTTGGGAAAATTGGCCTCGAGAAACTGCGCGCACGCGCTCTGGGTCAGGCCAAATCGTAATATTAGTAGTAATAATTATTTACTTATTTAAAAGAAAAATAAATTTATAATTTTAAATTAATATATATTTAATTAAAAATTTTAATTTAAATTTTATTTTATATATAATTAATATATATTTATTAATTAATAAGTTTTTATAATAATATATTTAAAAAATATATATTGGGCGGACGTTCTTTCTTTTCCCAGGCAACCAGAAGTTACCCCATCCCAATGACACACAGGGTTACCCCAGGCCAAACGGAAGTTACCCCACGGACCAAATCCTATTGGTACACTGGTACCACACCATCATTGGTTTAGCAAACAAAATATTTAAAATGTGTCCGTGCCATTGCGAACCACATATTTAATACCATCTCCTTTGGTAATAAAAACATGTCGAAAGTAAGCAACCGCCATTGGCACACACGTATTGACAGCAAAACAACTGCCTTCTATCCAAATGAGAAAAGTAACCAATTCTGCAGCACACGCCCCGTTTCCTTGTCATGTCTCTGGACATGGATTCGTTTGATTTCGGTAGTTTAATTATTTGTTTCCCAATGGCACACCTAGTGCCAAATAAGTCGTGTAAAGCATCCCTGACCCGAGCCCCGGCGTGATCCTACGCCATTTACTAGAACTTGCGCCAGCCGCATGGCACACCGTTACGCCAGACATCAATAATCTTCCGCCAGGTGGAAATCCTATTGGCACACCGACGGTCAAAAGGGACTAATTCAGAAACAACAACAGCAGCAGCAGCAAACCAAGCAGTAGACCATTGCAAAGCCTTTCCAAAACCTCTCCGAGTTGGGTTTTGATTGGCTGCAATTTTAACGAGGTCCGAACGAGGTGCGAACGAGGTCCGAACGAGGTCCGAAAGCAAATTTTGGGAGACTGACCCCTAAGTCTCCTGACAGACTCTTTAGTAGCCACACGCTTTCGCATCCTTTTCAGAACAATAAAACTCAAGAGCTTTCAGCGGTGGAGCAGAAGAGGAAACCAAGCCAAGCAGTTGCTGCAGGCAAGAGCTAAGAGACAGAAGAGGAGACAAAAGGCGAGTAAGGGAGACAGAGGGGAGACAAAGGGACGCAAGCTTGGCAAACAAGGCGGGGTATACAATTGCCACGACAACATCGACCCAGCTTCCAAACTTGAACCCACTAGCACCAAATGGCAGGCACACCGCTGATGGCACAAGATCTGTTGTGCTGCACAAAATCATTGAATTACCCAGTGTCACATATTCTCTTTGACCGAGCATGCCACTGCCACTGCGTTTGGATGTCACAAGTATCAAACCAAGTAATAAACAAACATGTTTATGACAACCAGTGTACCCCTGCGTTGTGTGCCCTGCAATGGACAAACAAACCATAAGAATGTTAGTGACTACAAATGGAAGGTTCATGTTGGTGAAATTCAGCGTGCCTATGCGTTTTGTGGTCTTACAATAAGCAATGATCCAATGGAATAATAATGTTATATATATCTTTTATACACACTTCCCCACGGCACACCGACCTGAGACAACTTCAGGGGAGACGAGACAAGAAACGACATGAACCCAGTATCCAATTTTATAATGTCATTTCATTTTATTAGCAGACCAATTCCAAAATAATTTAAAGCAACACCCTCTAAATTATACCCTATAACCAACAAATAAATTCCAAAATATAATCTAATAATGCTAATAATGCCTTAAAGCAACACCCTACAACACCCCTGCAGTATTCCTATACAGCGCCCCTACATAATATATCTCACAGAATGCCCCGACAAAGCTCCTACACGAAATATTATAATATTATCTAAAATTTACCTCCAAAATATATATTTTAATTTAATAATAAGATCATATAAAAATATTATCTTATAATATTTTTTTTAAAAAAAAATAAAAATAACTATATATTAATTATTTTATATAAATTCAATATTTATAAAAAATCAAAAAATAGTTAATAACTAGGGTCGGCCCGCTGTTTCCAATAGCGGAGAATTACAACAGGAATAAGAATCAATATATTTAAAATATATATTTTTTTTAAATAGGAATAATTCGAAATAATATTATTAAATTAAATTAATAAATTATAATTTATATCCTGCAGGAGTAGTTCATCGTTATAAATTCAAATTTCCAAATTTTCGGCGGATTAATATAATAAATTATTTACCAATAAGAATATAGTCCAAGAAATATATCAAAATATCAATTAAAATATTTTATAATATTATATATTAAATTCCGTATAACTACACTAATTTATAAATCGAATTTTCCGAAATTACAACGAATCATAACCATTAAAAACAAAATTATATATTCAAATTCAAGAGAATAAAGGGAAGAGCCCTTGCTGACAGCTACGGAGTCTTCCAGTGCAATGACAAATCTAAGACACCCCATCATATTTCTCTCTGCAGTGGACCTTCATTCAAATCATCCATGATCCATCTATGACCGAAAAGGAAAGCCACCGTTCCTCTTCGAGGCAATTCTCGAACCCTGGGGTCCCTGTCAGGGCACGCAGACACGCAACAGATGAAACAGGGTTCAAAAGTTCAAATATGGTGAAAAAAACATCGGTTCAGCCCCAGTGCCCCGGTCCAGCCTGAGGTCCAACATCAACGAAGAAATGAATCAAATGAAGACTCTGTGACCTGACCCACACAGTATCCTAGGACGCGCTGCTCACAATACAAACCAACACTGCCCGCAAAGAGGGGCCGACAACATGCATCATGAGTTTTCTATCGAACCTCCAGCCACAATGAGCAATCGCATAGGTGCCTATGGTGCCTGCAAGCAGTAATGTTTCCAGCATCTGTTCTGCTGTTAGCAAGCGACAGTTTCAAGATGTGTCCAGCTTAACTTTCAAGTAGTGAAAAGATGTCACGTTCTTGCAAGATTGTCAATTTCAGAGTTTTCAGAGTTCTAAGATGTTCCGAGATTAAGCTCCAACAGAAAAAAGTGTCTTGTTTGTCTTATTTGCTTCAAGAGTAAGCAAATAAATCACAAAATGACAGGCTCACCTCCGCGTCCTCCACTGGCAACTGGTTCAGGCCTGCGAGAATGCCGAAATAAGTTCTTTTCCTTTGTTGCAGATACCAATTATATTAACATATATTAACCACGTAACGGTCACGTAACGGTCACGTAAATAAAATGATCTAAAAGGATATATATCTGTCTATCTGCAGTTCAGTGGAGCAGCAGTTTAGTTTTGTACTTCAGCAGCCCGGCATCTGCAACATCAGAGGGGAGAGAGATAGCATGCTGCTATAGAAACAAGATGAAACAAGCATGGGAGACATGATCTATAGAACAAGAATCAAGAAAAGCACCACTTAAATTGCAGCTAGATAGATGAATCGATACAACCCCTTCCAAATTGCATTTCCCCATAGGTACAGAGACATTTAAGGAAAATCGATGCGACTAAAGCTCCGGACTGTATGGGTTTGTCTGAAAATAGAGTAATTACCTTTTAATCCACTGGAGGAGCATTTTCCCCATGTAAATGGTCGTTTGGGCGGTATACGGCCAGGATCAGCCGGGTCTACCCCATTTTCAGACGCGCCTCATCGAGCTGGGTCTCCACAGAATCCCACCAGCTACAGTACGCCATTACGCCACGACGCATCCTCTGGGCCTGTCAAGAAAGTTTCGAAGGCTTCAAGCCACCGGAGAAACAAAAGGGTTTGGATCAGGAGGGATGCACATATCAACAAGTCTCAACCTGCTCTTTGTACTTGTTGATGTGATTGTGCGAGAGCCACTGTAATGGTCCAGCAGCGATTCGGACTTCAATCTTTCCCTGCACCCTGCGCCTGATCATGAGCACAAGTAGAATGCATTTCAGGGAGCAACAGGTGCAAACGCATTGTCCTGTGCCCTTTTCCCAAACAAGCCCCTGTGGGTATCGCAACTCCCAATTTACAACTCTGCGAAATTGTCGCAAATTCGGGCAGAGGTTCCACCATATTTGATACTCAGGTGTGGCAGCGCTACCGATGGCAGGCAACCACAGAGCTTGGGATTGGCGTCGATGTTGAAATTGCGAAGCTTGGGATGTTTCATGAGCCGCGCCAGCACATCCACGCCATGAACGTCCTGGTGGCAGTCAAGGTCATTCATTTGCACCTGGAGCTGAGTGAGGTTCTCAAGCCGTTCCAACGATTGAGGCAGAGGACCTTCCAGCTTAAGATCATGAAGATCCAATGAGCGCAGGTTGGGCCAATGCTCGGGCAATGTCTCGGGGATGCCGCCGTAGATGAAGTTGGCATCCTTCGGATCTGTCAAAGCAAATTATATAAGTCCCCAGTCCTACAGCAGCTGCCTTCTTTCGGTCGGAAACCGACAGTACCAATAAGAAAGTGCCTGATATCTGAGCACATCTAAGAAATAGATTTATCAGGATCTGGTTTCAAGCATCAAGAGATGATCCACAACTGACCCCTGGTATACCTGGTTTTTCAGCGGCTGAACACTTGCAATTTTTGGACCCTAATTTCATCCCCATTTCAACAGAATATTCGGAATATTCGGAATACCAATCCCCAATGATGTGGGCTTCTCCCCAAAAAAGGGATACCAACAAAAGCAGCAAGATTTGTCTATTTTGTCCCTATCAAAAAAAATATCTATGATGGTAAACTCCGGTTCTTGACAATAGACATGGCACTTCGCTGGATCGAAATGGTGTACCAACGGACCCATGGCGGAAAACATATCCGGAATCGTAATGTCCCCATAGTCAATTGGTGGTTAAATCCCCAGTCGTTGCTTCAGAATTTCCCCCTTCCTGGCTGATTCATATCCCAACCCCCAGTCCGAAACAGTTGAACACCAAGTTCACCTTAACGCTAAATTTTAGTAAATACATCATCTATGACACCATCTGATGAAATCGTGCAAAACAAAACTCATAGATGGGCTCCCAAAAAGGTCCCCAATCGCCCGGCCGAGGCTCGATGTGCATCTTCTCAATCGCCTGCCATCTCCACCATGGCAGCGTCAGGTCGTCGAAGCGGATGTTCCAGCCGTGCACCGGGCAACGCCAAACCGCTTCTGTGCCATCCTCTTGAGCCACGTAGCCCGGGACACATTGGCTACCTGAGCTCGGCGCAGCGATAAAAACCCTATTAAATAGCCATTTAAATGGGGACAACAATGATTATTTGGCGGATTTAGGGGTGGCAATTTTCAAAGAAATCCATATGAGACCCCCTGTACATGAGTAGTTCCAATACTAAACCAGGGTTTCATTTGAGGTGTCAGTCAGTCACCCGAGTCAGTCGCCCCAAATGTCGGCGTCGAGAACCCCACATGACAAAGTCAGCCACCCCAGCACAGGAGGCAGGAAGACCATGATCGAGAAACAGAAAGTCAACAACAAAGAGTCGGTCACCCTTCGGAAGGAGGAGGATCCAGGAACCCGAGGGAAAACAAAGCCGGTCACCCCCTGGCTGGAGGATCGCTCCTGATGAAAGGCTCCTGGTGGATTTGGGTTGTAAGGTGTGGCCCCAAAAGAGGCTCTTGGCCATGAAAAAGGGCTTCTGGTGAAAGGCTCCTGGTGAATATTGGCATTACGGCGTGTGGTACTATTTGAGATTGAAGAATGGGTTCCTTCCAGTCATTTGGCTTGGGAGCCAACCTGTGGCTGGCAAACCCTACAGAAACCCTAAAGAAACACTCAACCAACCCTAAAACAAACCCTGGTGAAACCGTAACCCTAAAACCAACCCCAAAGAAACAACATACAGAAGTAAACGCGATATCACGATGCATGATATTGATGTAATACAATTCCCTGCCATCCTCGTGTCATCCCTCGCCACTACTGGTGATGTGGAGAGTGATGGACTTCGACGTCGGGGGGGTGATTGACTCAGGGTGGTCTGACTCTGCTAGCGGGTGACTGATTCCGTCTAGTCTTGAGGCGTATTTAACATTAGGGGGAAGGGGTTCAAGCATGCTCGACATGAAAACCCCAGGTTCTTGGAAGCTGCTTCTTGGTGCTCGACATCTTGATGAGCTCAAATTCGAATTATATATATATATGTATATGTATATGTGTATATATGTATATTATATTATATACATATATATATATATTATATAATATATATATATATATATATTATATATATAATATATATATATTATATATACATATATATATAATATGGGGAATATGTTCACTTTCCAGTAGGTTGCCAAGTTGCGGTTCGACAGCCAAGCCGGTGGGCAGTCCCCTTTCGTGTCACTGAGTCTTCCATTCTCAAACGCCTCAAAAATACGTAGCTTCTGCAGATTCCCGAGGCTGCTAGGCAATGAGGCCTGTCCTGTCAGGTTGCAGCCTACGACATTCAAATGAAGCAATTCTGAAAGGTTTCCCAGACAATCTGGCAACGCCTTGATTGAGATGTGCTCACCATCTTCGATTCTGTCATTGCCACTGATGTCAAGATACCGCAAGTCGCGGAACTCGCAGATCCAGTCAGGCAAAACGGCTGACGCTATCATGACGTTTAGTCCGAAAACAGAAGCTGTCCAAGACTGAAGAGTCAGAACATCCACGGGTTCCTGCTGCATGCGCACCGTCATCACTCGCACATTTGGAAAAATGCCAAGCAGTTGCTTCAGAATACCTTTGTGAAGGAGCCTTCCACTGTGAAACTCCAAAATGCGGACACCGCGAAGTGGCACAACTTCAAAGTCCAACGCTTCATCTGGGTTTTCCATGACCCGCTGGGGCTTGGACAGCGTCACCCGAATCAGCCCATTCTCACCACACACCCAAAACTGATCACAGCGACACAGACGACCCAGCTGTAGATTTTGGGGCTCAACCACCGCACGGCGGAGGCGTTCAGTGCAGGCCCGGTCCTTTTTGTTGCTCAGGTCCAATATCCCAAACCTGCTGTGGAGCTTCCAAAGCATCTCCATGTCTTGTCGCGTTCCGGCCTCGAACTTCTCACCAAAGCCCAGCAAAAAATACGCCGCGGATGCTTCAACCAGCTGACGATTACCAAAGATTTCACCAAGGCTGGAGCTGGTCAGCGCGGCTTGTGTCAACGATTTCACGGCCTGCAGACGTTTCTTGTCTTTTCGCAGTGGGAGGTCCAAGCTGGTGCTTTCCTCTGCTAGGAGATGGCTGGCCCAGTCCGTATAGCCTTTCTCCAGCAGACTTCGCAGCTCCAGGGCAGGGACATCGGCCACAATGGAGCGCCACTCTTCGGGAGAAACTCCAAAGGCCGTGGCCCAGGTCTCTTTTTTGGATCTCGCATTGGGTAAGGTCAGCTCTTCGATCTGCCCTACCGGCAGATCACAGCTCGCAGAACTCACAGGAAAAAGACCAAAAAAAAGTCGCGCAGCTTGGATCATGCGAAGTGAATATACGAAACCTGAGAGATTTTCTGGCTGAAATGGTCGGTTTCTTGGTGGCTTCCTGTTCTGCTCGGCTCTGAATTCTTGCACTCATCTTGCTGCATCTAGCTGTGTAATGATGGAAGCCATGGATTTCATGTCCAGTTCTCGGTAGTGTTGGTGAATGTGCTGTTAAGCCTTGAGCCAATCCCATCAGTTCAAAAATCCATATGCAACATTATGTAGTACTTGAGATGATCAGGATGTTTACTGCAAGCTCTCAAGCAGTTTCACAAAAGACCATTAGTAACTGGAGATTCCCAGTATGTATGCCTTGCAAGACACTCATGAAGTGGAGGATTTGTAGATCATTCTAATGGCAAATTGGTCTCCAAATACGTGCGCAGCATCTTCAGGGAAATGCAGTGCGGAGAGTCAACCCTGTCAACCCATCCCTCGAAGCACAGTAGCTTCAAGAAATGTCCTGATCCCTTCTTGAACTGCCCCATTTGAGGAGCATTTAATCATTGAATATATCCAAATATATATATATATAATATTATATTATATATAATATATAATATATATTATATTATATATATAGATTTCGGCCCAGCACTTACCAGTTAGTGAATCTGTGATCCGCAGAAGGTTGGGACCCCGTAACTCATCATGGATTTGTCCTTTCGAGACATCCCGGTTGGCAGCTGCTTCAACATAGTGGCGGAAGTGGAGAAGGAGCACTATGGCATCTTGAGCTGCCGTGGTCTATCACCAATTCAGCCTTTTGAGATTCATGATGCCCCGCAGTTGCCTCGTGGCATTTACACGTTCTACGACCTTGAACGTGCAATGGAGGACCAGCATGTGTGTAGGTTTGGGAAAGACACTGAAGCCATCTCTCACCCACCAAAAGGGGAATTTCAAACGGTCAAGATCTTTGATGTGTGCAGCGGTATTGGGGGTTTCACCATGGGGTCACAGATCCTGGGGATGCCCACATTGGCTTTCGTGGAGATCAATTCACTTGCTTGTGATGTGCTCTGCACAAATTTCTCTAGCCCTGTCATTGAAGGGGATTTGGCCTCTCTTGATGTGGTGAAACAAATGCACCGTTTGAAAGGCACAGACCTGCTTCAGGTCACAGGAGGGTTTCCGTGCCAGGGATTCTCATGCCAGGGAGACATGCAGGGGCTGGATGACCAGCGCAGCCACACGCTGTACCACATCTTGAACTGCGCATGGCTCTTGCAGGCTGACTCGATCCTGTTGGAGTGTGTTGCGAATGTGACACAGTTCATCAACACACAGGACTATATCACCAGATATGCAGATCATGCATCTATGCATTGTCATCGTCTTGTTTTTGACTTGCAGCGTCAGTGGCCTATGCGTCGACACCGCTTCTGGTGTCACATGATCTCCAAGACCTTCAATGACATTGACATCCAGACCTGGCCAACCACCTCGGAGTTCACTAGTGTTGCCAGCGTTATGCCCATGGATTCTATTTGGCCAGAGACTGATGAGCACCATCTTGCTTGGGATCCTGTCGAGCTCAGCATCTACATGAACCCTGCATATGGCGATGACCAGAGAGTGCTTCTACCACATGACAAAGCACCCACAGCACTCCATTCATGGGGACATGTGGCTCGTGACTGTTCTTGTGGATGTCGCCTAGCCTTCAGCGACAAGCGTCTTCGATCTGGGGGTGCAAGAGGATTTGGACTTTTGTCCTCTGTCACCGGACGTCATCGACATTTACATCCACAAGAAGGGGCACTTTTGTGCACAGTACCACCTTGCTTTCAGTTCCCAATCCCTCCAAGGGCTGCCCTCTGTTTGTTGGGCCAGATTGCGGCACCTTTGCAAGTCTTATGGCTGCAATCGCACATTCTTGCTGGACTACAACAGCAACATTGGGGTTGGACACACATTGATCCTTTGGCCTGCATCCGTGTCTTTCAGGACTATTTGACCTCCTACGTGAAGGCTTCCTGGATTACCCTCGGCATGTATCAACCCCGATCCATCTGGCTGCACATTGAGGGTGAAGGACAGATCACCGAAATCAAAGTGCATCAACCTGTCACAGTCCAGGCCTTGGCCAACGCAGAAAAAGAGCTTTGTGGATGGGGGCACTATGCCATCATCAAGCACATGGGTCAGAGACTGCCACCAAATGCCTATCTCCAATCTGATATCCTTTACACGATTGAGCTTCGACGCAGCAAACATGTCCTGCCCTTCCACAACTACGTGCCGATCACTGGAGGTGGGACGGAGCGCAGCCAGCAGTGCTTGGGCGATCAGATCATTTGGAGATTCATGAGGGCACTTCGTGATCATGCGACTGTTGGTCTCAACATGCTCATGCCCTTCATGCTCTACCCTTTCAGGGGCCGTCAGCTCTTGCGACTGAGCATCCCCATTCAATTCCAGGAGGACACCAAGAGCATTTACCACAATACTGATGGGCGTGTTTTCCTCATCTGTGAGCTCAATGACCATTGGATTTTGCTGGTCGGAGAGCCTGCCATGCAGAATGGACTTTCATGGACCTTATACAATGGACTTCGACAAGGTCAACTGCATGAACCAGGGCTTCAAGTGGCCACCAAGATCACAAATCTCCTTGGCAAAAACTTTGTGGGCCTGCACCTGGGTGATGGACTTCTTCAACGGCATCAGACTTCATGTGGCACCATAGCCCTCCTCCAACTGGCCATTGAACTTGGACTTCTTTCAACGGCTGAGGAGGATGAGGTTAACTCCATTCATCATTGGCTTTTGGGTCTCCAGACTGAAGGTCATCTCTTTGCTGGGGGCGCCACTGACGTTCAGAAACAATTGGCCGATCTCCTCACCTCCAAAGGGGTACCAGAGCAACGTGGAGCGGAAAGGGCACAGCAAGCCATCTCTCGTCTTGGCCTCACCACTGTCCAGAGCATTTTGAAAGCCAAGAATCCTTGGGCTGACTTGAAAGCGGCAGCCAGCAGACCTGGCATGATGTTCCGTCTTCTGACCCAAGAGGAACAGAACCAGTACATCGCAGCAAGGGCACAAACCAAACATGGGGCCCAAATCAAGAATCACAAGCAGAAGAAGATGTCCAGGAGTGCTGCCAAGCCGGGCCCAGCGTGCCTTGATCCTGACCAATTTACCTTGGACAGTTCCCACTTTCAGGACGAACAAGAAGTCCCGGTGGAACAGATCCAGTTTTTTGAGGTCAGATCTGACCAGCGGGGAGTGGCACTTTGCACAACGACAATGGCACAAGAATTCTTGCAGCAACCCAAATCCATCAGCATCGATGCCCTGGCACTGCTCTTGATTGACACCCCGGCCCAGGAGCTGATAGACAAGGCAAACCTGGACAAGATCATCATTCCTGCTAAATGCCAAGGAACAAACGAGCATACTTTGATCTTCGGGCACATTCTGCAGTTGGGTGACTGTACTGTCACCAGATCCCATGTTGGCAAAGGCTCTTGTCCTGAAGTGATTGAGACTAGAGTCCTGAAGCTGCAAATCTTCAAGGACCAGCTTCAGGTGAATTGGCAGGACTTCTGTGCTGCACCAATACGTGCCCTGGTTGCCAAGATGGAAGCTCTACAGCTCTGCCGTGGCCAACAATGCGGCACGGACTGTGCCAAGTTTCATCCTGGACTTGATGAACAAGTTGACAACGTGATCTTTGAGATATGGTCACGTACTTTCTTCAACGAGCAGGGCCACAAAACCACTGCAGCTGAGGCTTCCCTGTTCACGGCCTTTATGCGAGTTCCTGACGGAGCTTTGCACAGAATCCTTTCGACCACACCAGATGGAGTTTATGCTGAACCACGAGGCGCATTCCCTCGAGAACATGATGAGCGCTACTGCGTCATTTGGCTTCCTGGAGCTTCCTACGAAGATGCACAGCATCAGTGCCGCACCTTCTCAAAATCCGTATGCCTGGTCAGGATGCGCCAGAAATACGGCATCCGAGTGCTCAAGTCCGATGAGAAGATTGCTTGGACCCACTTGCGCCCTGGCATTGACTATGTGGACTTGGACATCCAACACATCTGGGAGCTTTTCCCTTTGCCACATGGCACACAGAAGCAGGCCATGGTGCGGCTTTTGAAAGACTGGGAATGGCATGCCCGGCCACTACAACCTGGGCGCGGCAACTATCAGCACATGTCTTGGCGAGTGGGTTCTCAGCAGCCTCCACCGCATCCCATCATGAAGGGCTTCCAGATGGATGTGATGATCTCACAGATCAAGGACCTGAAGATGGCTACTCCACAGCCACACTTGATCGCTACGTCCAAGACCAAGAAGCACCTCAGCACTGCAACCTCTTCATCAGCTAAATCAGCTCAATCCACTGATCCATGGATGGAAACTGGCAAGGACCCTTGGGGTACCTACAAACCCAGAGGTGATGCTGCAACTGCCAGTGACCCCAGACCACGACTGGAAGAGCTGAAGAGCCAGCTGAGCACAGACCTACGAAAAGATCTTGATCAACATGCTCAGGCAGCAGTGCAAGCAGCAGCAACAAGCTCAGGCAGCTGGACATCACCGCATGAGGATAGAATCCAAGCTCTTGAAGTTGGCCTACAAGAGATCAAAGGTCAAAATGCTCAATTCCACACCTGGTTTCAGCAGGCGGGTGAGAGGATGCAATCTACGGAGAATGCGGTGAGTGCAGTTCAGCATACTCTGAACTCACATCAGCATGAGTTACATGCGCTTGGTAGCACCTTCCAGAGCACCATGAAGAACATCAAGAATGATCTCTCGGCTGAGATGACAGACTCTTTCAACCAGCAGCTTAGCCGCTTGGAAGCCTTGCTGGAGAAGAAACAAAGATCAAGCTGACTAGGGCGGCCTGGATCCGGGCATGGGTCTACCCGGATGCCTAGGACAAGAACAAGACCTTTTTTTGGATTTCACTGGTTTTTGATTTGGCTCATGGTGATCGTCGCACCAACACATGCTCTACAGCAGAGATTTCCCTTTGC